CCTTTCCCTACCAACACCTCCAGGCAGCTCACACCTCCCTACCAACACCCCCAGACAGCTCACACCTCCCTACTACTACCACCTCCAGGCAGCTCACACCTCCCTACCAACACCTCCAGGCAGTCTCACACCTCCCTATCACCACCCCAGACAGCTCACACCTCTCCCCTACCAACACTCCAGGCAGCTCACACCTCTCCCCACCCACACCTCCAGGCAGCCCACACCTCCCTACCCACACCCCCAGGCCACACCCCCCCTCCCCTACCCACACCCCCAAGCAGCTCACACCTCCTCCCACCAACACCTCCAGGCAGCTCACACCTCTCCCTACCAACACCCCCAGACAGCTCACACCTCTCCCTACCCACACCTCCAGGCAGCCCCACACCTCTCCCTACCCACACCCCCAGGCAGCCCACACCTCTCCCTACCCACACCCCAGGCAGCTCACACCCTCCCTACCCACACCCAGGCAGCCCACACCTCCCCACCCACACCTCTCCCCACCCACACCCCCAGGCAGCCCACACCTCCCCTACCCACACCCCCAGGCAGCCCACACCTCTCCCTACCAACACCTCCAGGCAGCTCACACCTCCTTCCTCAACACCTCCAGGCAGCTCACACCTCTCCTACCAACACCCCCAGGCAGCTCACACCTCTCCCTACCAACACCTCCAGACAGCTCACACCTCTCCCACCAACACCCTCCAGGCAGCTCACACCTCTCCCTTACCACACCTCCAGGCAGCTCACACCTCTCCCTACCAACACCTCCAGGCAGCTCACACCTCCCCTACTCAGGCAGTCACCTTCCCAACACCTCCAGGCAGCTCACACCTCCCCACACCTCCAGGCAGCTCACACCTCCCACCAACACCCCAGACAGCTCACACCTCTCCCCACCACCTCCAGGCAGCTCACACCTCTCCCTACCAACACCCCCAGACAGCTCACCCTCTCCCTACCAACACCTCCAGGCAGCTCACACCTCCCCACACCTCCAGGCAGCTCACACCTCCCCACACCCCCAGGCAGGTCATCCTCTCCCCACCAACACCTCCCAGGCAGCTCACACCCCACACACCTCCAGGCAGCTCACACTCTCCTGCCACACCACACTGCCCAACAACCCACTGACCTCAATAAAATTCTAGGTTCCAGCATTGGACTAAAGAGGGCGCTCGAGGTAGAACCTGCAATCTATTCACCTTAGTACCAAGTGCTGGTAGTCATCTCCAGCTTTAAGCAACAACTAGCCTTCCTCACAACAGTTCCGAACACCGAAATAATTCACGACACCAACCAAACCTCTACACCAACCCCTCCAGGTACCAAGCTGCCATCCAGATAAAAGTTCAAGGTATCCTCACCAACACCTCCAGGTAGAAGGAACTACTGTACATCCAACATTCCCAATCCATATTTCCTGCCTTCATCACTCCCGATCACCATCTCAAAGCTGCCATCATCTAGTTATTCCTATACCATCAGTTAAAGTGTTCCCAGGAATAAGTAATCTTACTTATTCAATCCAATTCATCTGATAGGCTTTCCTTGGTTACGATGCTTGTGATTTATTTCTGAAAGATTAATGAAAAACTTCCCTGTAAAACAATCACGTAGTCTCATACTGATCCGTCTACAATGACTTACTGTCAAGAAGGAATAAGATGGGAAAGGAGGGATAAAGCCCTGGACGACACACGGCCAGATGGTACAGGAGGAGCGAGCTGTGAGTCCCTCTTTATGTCTGTCTCGCAATAAAGTAAATAATAATAAATAAATAAATAAATAAATCAGAGAGAGAGAGAGAGAGCAGCAGGTGAGTGATGCTGCTTCCCGCTACAATAATGAAATTCTCAAAAACGATACTGGACATTAACTCAACAGATAAATTGCTCTCCCTCGTTCACGTCCCTCCTCTCAATCCTCCCCTATAACTATATATATATATATATCCCCTTTTATTAATTCGAGGCTCTGTGACAAAGACCAACATTCATCCAACTCCAACCTCCGCCTGCTTCGCCTTCACCACTCCCACCACCATCTACCCCCCTGCACTCTCCCCTTCCCACCACTACCTGCAGCCTCTTTTCTCACATCACCACCACCTAATCCTTCTCCTATCTTCCTCCTCCTACCATTCTCCCTCCCTCCACTGAAGCCTCCCCAATCCCACCATCTTCTCCCTTCCCCTCTTGCCAATATTACCATCATTTCTTTTCCAGTCTCTTCCTTCTCCCACTACAGCCTACAGTATAGTCCTCCTCCCTGTATCCCTCACGCTTCCTCCACCATCACCTTGAATTCTCCCTCCAACCTCCTACTTCCCCCACCACGACCAAGAGCTCTCCCCAACTCTAGCCTTACTCTCCCACATCCAAGCTTCTACCAACGTCGATATCCTAACCCAATGCAAAGGTCAAACCAGTTATGGTACTGACCTTGTAAACAACGTGAGTTTGCATCTCCTTAACCTGCCTAGATCACGGCATTCACTCTCTTCCACCTCACCCTCTTGTTCCTCATCAACTACAAGCTAGGCACTTAACATGACTGTACAGTGTACAATACCATCTTCCACCTCCTCTCCATATACTGTACACCTTGTAAAATAATCCTAAAACCTTTGATCTCTTCGTTCTTGGTTAATTATGGAAAAATAAATATGAATTGTTGAAACAATAATGTTGCTTCATTTCCAGCTCACAGTATCCAGAAGATCCAGTACCTGACAGTAAGACGAGTCTTCGCCTAGACATAATAAAATTCACATATAAAAATGAAACCTTGATCATTTATCCCGCCTTAATAAATTATGGGACACTTGTACCTAAGAGTCAACTGGTAGAGGGTCTGTGGCCAGCGCCAGAAGAAACACAACTCCAGAGACTCTTAACTTGCTACCATAATCAAACTTTTTCACACTGCCATCCTGCAACCAAGTTTCTCAGAGATTCAAAACTTTTCCCTCAAGACGTGAACCACTGACTCACTTACCACACAATACAAACACGACGATTTAAGAAATATATTAAATTTATCGACGCACTACCACAACGGGACATGTTCTCTCATCTCCAGGTGACGTGAACAACTTACCTTGAACTGCGAATCATTCCTGGTCTGTCTGGTCGAGGGAGCGAGTATCCCTGGGCCGTGTAAGTCCCTCCAATCTAAACTTAATTTTTCTATCCAACTCTACCGAGGATAGACAAGGATATATTATGCCCTTATCTACAACAACAAATCCTACCATTAACTACCTACTCGACCTTCCCTTACCTAATTTAACCCTTAAAGTCCTGGAGGGTTGTACTATCTCCCCGGTTAAACCATCATCCTCAAAGGGTTAACGTAACCTAGGTCACCCTCCCATAATTCAACTTAACCTACACGAACTATCCCATCCATGCCTTAAAATATTCTACAATACAAGAATCCAAGTAGAATAATCTCTTCTGGTCCTGCTTCTCTTCATTCCCTTGGTCTAGCTCTCCTCCTCCTCCTCTTCATTCCGTTGGTCTCTCTCTCCTCCTGTTCTTCCTTGTCAATTTCCATTTCCTCTTCCTTTTCTTCTTTCCTTATCCCATTTCATTCACCTTTTCCTCCCCCTGCTACTCCCCCCGCCTTCCTTCTCATGTTGCTCCCTCCTGCACCCCCCTCCCGGCATCCCTGCCCCATCTCACGCCCACTCCTCTCTCCCCCTAACAACCCCCTGCCTCCTCACGCCTCTCCTCCCTCCTACCCCTGCCTCCCTATCACCCCCCCGACAGCCTGCCCTTATCTCCTGCCCACCCTTCCCTTCCCGTCAGAGGCTGGAGGTCCCTCTGACAACTTTATAATGAGCCAGTCCTTCGGCCACCCCAGACTGATGGCTCCTCCGGGACTACTTAGTGACGGCATCGTCGGGTCCCTCCAGCCGCTACAACAAACTCACTCCCTCTCTCGCTTTAAAACCCTCACCGCCAGTACTCTTTATTTTACCTCTCTCTGATACTTTCACTTCCCCCTCTCTCTGATACTTTCACTTCACTCTAATACGTTCGCTTCCCTCTCTCTAATACATTCACTTTCCTCTCTTGATTACAGTATATATGAATATCAGTCCCCTCTTTCCAATACTCTCACTTCCTTAATTCTTGATCTTCCCTACACTACCCTCACTCCCCCTCTCCAGTAATATGACTCCCCCTCTCCAGAATTCTGACTCCCCTCACTCCCCATCTCCACTATCGGACTCCCCTCACTTACCCCTTCCACTATCTGACTCCCCTGACTCCCCCTCTCCACTATTCTGACTCCCCTCTTTTCTCTCCCCCCTCTATCTCCCTTACGCCTCTCCTGCCCATTCTAAGTATCCGCTCCCTAGCCTCTCTCTCCCACCTCCCAGCTACTCTCGGCCTCTCTGCACCTCCCCTTTCCCGCTTCTCCCTCCCCTTTTCACACAAGTCTCACTCCCTCAGCTGTTCTTACTCCCCTATACACTCGTCTTACTCTACTTTCTAGATTACTCTCATTTCTCTTCTCCACTACTATGCCTCCCCTCCCTCTCATACGGAAAGAATCCCTAACACCTTCGCCTGCACTCCTCTCCCACAACCTGCCGTCCCCGTCACTCTCTCCACTAATTCCCTCAACCACATCTCTCAGGGATGGAAGAGGGAAAGTACAATAAAATCTCGCCTTCCTATACAGGCTTGTTACATTCAGGCGTTCCAACATTAATTGTACAGTAGCTAAAACAGCTATCTGTGCATACTTTGTGGGAAACAATACGAGACCATGGACGATAAATATTGGTATATGAGGGCTGTCACTAGTCCCACGCAAAATTTCGGAGCATATCGACCCCAACCTGGACAGATAAATGTTTTAGCTACTGTACATACGCACACACAATATGTGTGTGTGTGTTACCACCACAGGGAGGACACACACACCAATCTTTACAGTATTTTCTAGATAATGAAGTACTTGCTCTTACTCACCAGCACCACACAACCTGCTCCCCCGGGGATAAGTACGAACTCTTCGCACTCACCTGAAAATATAAAAATATAAAATATTAATTTTCTTTCAATAATATAAAAGGATAAAATTGAATTAATGAAACAAATTATTATTATTATAATACTATATATATATATATATATATATATATATATATATATATATATATATATATATATATATATATATATATATATACACATTTGAAACAGGGAGATTGGATACTGTAGGCTAGGTGGTCTAGAGCCTCAGCTAGCACGATTAATCCGTCCACCCTCTGCAGACCCATACTGATTCTTCGGGTCGGGTAAACCTACATAGATCACTTTCACACGGGTCAACCTTTCCTCAACTCCCCCATTCCCAGGGTCATCCTTCCTTCTCACACTGGCAAAGTAAAATCATCCCTTTTAATATTACAATAATTAATAAGCACAAAGTTATATTCACCAAAGTACAATACACGGACTTAGCTCATCGTTATACAATATAAATATCTCTCTTGTGCACGTGTTGTGTGTGGTGTGTGTGTGTGTGTGTGTGTGTTCACTTCACCTCTCTTGCTCCCTACCCCCCACTCCCAGCAAGCATCCCAAAACTCTTGCTCTCAACACACCACGGATACAAAGGGTAGTGTCCTCCCCCACCCCACAACCCCTACTGGCCCACAATGCACGTCTCTCCTCCCACCATGAGTTACTGTTTATTGTCAAAGGAATCTACATCTCTCTCTCTCTCTCTCTCTCTCTCTCTCTCTCTCTCTTCTCTCATCCAGGTTTCCCGGAAATTTGTACAAAAGTATCATAAAATCACGGGGCTGGAGACAATACAGGCGGCAACCCACCGACATTATACTGGCTCCTCCTCGGCATTATAAGAGGGAGGAGACGGCCAGATATATTGAAAGACACAAACAATAGGCGAGATCCAGACCAGGCATTGGCCATAATCAATATTCCCTTAAATAGCAACACAAAAACTCTGGAAACAGTTGGATGTGTAGAGCAGACCGACTTGAAAATGTATCCAAATTTCTTATTATCCCAGATGGATTCACGTCCACCTTAACCTAAATTCCTCCACACCATCCCAAGGCTCATCCACGTTATCCAAAAAAGCCGGCAAATCACCCAGACCCCTTCCATGTCATCCTAAAACAGATACATTCATATCATCCCAGGCTCCCCTCCACCCCCCATCATCCTGCAAGACCCCATATAATCCACACAACACCTCCACCAACCACATCTCCACCTGCCCCAATTACCACTACACCACCACCTCCACCTGTCCCCAGCTACACACACACCACACAACACCCCACCTGTCCCAACTACCACTACACCACACCACACCCTCACCTGTCCCAACTACCACCACACCACACAACACCTCCACCTGCCTCAACCTGCCACTACACCACACCTCCACCTGCCCCAACTACCACTACACCCACAACACCCTCACCAGTCCCAGCTACACCACACCACACAACACCTCCACCTGCCTCAACTACCACTACACACACACCTCCACCCTGCCCCAACTACCACTACCCACACACAACACACTCACCTGCCTCAACTACCACCACACCACACCACACACTGTCCCAACTACCACTACACCACCACACCTCCACCTGCCCCAACTACCACTACACCACAACACCCTCACCTGTCCCCACTACCACTACACACACCACACCTCCACCCCTGCTCCTACACACCACACCACAAACACACTCTGCCCCCACTACTGCCTACACCACACCACACTCTACCTGTCCCAACTACTACCACCACACACACTCCACCTGTCCCAACGACCACCACACCACACAACACCTCACCTGTCCCAACTACTCACACCACACAACATCTCCACCTGCAACTACTGCCACACTGCACTGCACTCCTGTCCCCACTCCACTACACACACAACATCTCCACCTCGCTCTACCACACTGCAATGCCCACCTGTCCCAACTACCACTACACCACACAACATCCACCTGCCCCAACTACACACACACCATCCCACCTGCCAGCTACTGCCACACTGCTGTCTATCACACCCATCCCCAACTACCACTACACCACACAACACCCCCACCTGCTCCCTACCACACTGCAATACCTCCACCTGTCCCCAGCTACCACTACACCACACAACCTCCACCTGCCCACTACTCACCACACGCACAATACCTCACCTGTCCCAACTACTGCACACCACACAACATCTCCACCTGCCCCAACTACCACCACACTGCTGTCATCACCTGTCCCCACTACCACTACACCACACAACACCTCCACCTGCCCCTACTACCACCACACCACACAACACCTCCACCTGCAACTTCCAACCTCCACCTGTCCCAACGACCACACACCACCAACCACCTCACCTGTCCCCAGCTACCACTACACCACACAACATCTCCACCTGCCCAACTACCATCACACTGCACAATACCTCCACCTGTCCCCTTCTGCTACACCACCACACCCCCCACCTGCCCCAGATAGGGCCAAGCCTCACACTGCAGCAGGACGAGGAGAGGATCCCAGACACTCTGACATTTGATGGGTCTATATTTAGGGTGCACACACTGGCAGACGATAAGTGGCGGAGGCAAATGTCACGCTCACCGCCGCCGCTCTATTATTGACGAGGGCACACGTCAAGGAAACTCTGGCCTCAGCAGCATCACTCAAACAATAATCGTGACACAACAACCCACTTCTCTCTCTCTCTCTCACACAAAAAAAAAATATAAAATTAGTCGTCACTTGTTTCATTTTCCTCTATTTTAATGGTGGTACACGTCAAGTATACTTCCCTGTACCCAAGCATCAACACAGCTATATTGTAACTCTTCCACTATGCAACTCTCACACTAAACACTACTTATTACTGCAGTAGTGGAAGATGTGTGTGTGTGTGTGTGTGTGTGTGTGTGTGTGTGTGGTGTTGCCCACCTAAAAATAGATGAGAGTTAAGAAGAGGTACGAAGAGGAGTCAGAGGAGATGAAGGTGGAAGGAGAACAGAGTTGGGAAGTAGGTCAGTGTGTCATCTCTACGTGTACACGGAGTAGGCCACCCGTGTTATAATCACACAAACTTTGTCGGGTGTTGGTAGAACACACACACAAAATAAACGATTCCTAGCTTTCCGCATCACAGGATACAAATGTGCGTCAAACACGACTAATCTCCATCACAAGGAGCAGTTGGGATCAGAAGGAATAGGAATGCTTATCTGATAAACATGAGTTGTGTGCTTCACGTGTAACGAGTTCTATACGGGTGATGTGGGTAACAGAAATGTGTAACCATAGCAGTGTCTCTCGTAACACCTCATCTCAGGTGTATGCCAATGACTTTTTCACGATACAGTAATTCCCTCGGATGTGCGCGTGTAAACACATAACGTTCCTCTCTTTTTAGTGAGATTTTAAACCTTTGATTACAAAGTAAATACCTAAAGTAAATATATTATTTTTTACCCTTTAAGTAATCCCTCAGTATGAAGACAACCTAGTGAAAACAAAGACTGAATTCCTTGAATACAAAGTCTAAACAATTTGAACTGGATGACCAATTTCCTTGAATACGATGAGATTATGAGAAAACATCATACTTAAGGATTCAATCTGGCAATATATGTTCGGTGTAATTGAAAAATGAACTAACATAGTGAGCTCGCAAAAATAACCTGATGTACTAAATCGACTAAAACGAGCCAGAGACTCATGATCTCCTCCAGATTGGGTTATACGTAACAGACAACTGCACATCCCGCGTTTGCACACCAGCAACTGACTTTTCAATGCGGTTTTGTGTACGAATTGGCTGTACCTTCTTGGTGTGCTCCCGACGTGAAGTCATCCAAAGCAAGTGTTGTACCATCGCCTCAGTCGGTAAGAACAAGCCCGTGCATACTGTGTCGGCGAGGCAGTGTAACATGAGACAAGTCTCACTCAACTTCCCTGTCGACTCTGGGCTTCTCAACACGCCAGTAACAAAATTTCTGGACCAGAGACAATGACCGCACCTCAGAATTTCTATAACAATGTGAAAATGGATATTGTAGTAACACATACTGAAGTGACCAGTAAATAATTCAACAAACAGCAACATTTCACGAAGGTATCAAGGGATAACAATCTCATAGAGCTCTGGAATAGATTATGTTCAAGGACAGCCAATGAGCTATGAATTCTCCTAATCATTTAGTAAACAGGCTGGAGGACCCATACAAAGCCCTAAGTGGCGTGAGTTTGGTGGCCTGGCTCAAGATACCAAGCGGAAGAAAGGATTAATTCAACACAAAAGAGGTGAAACTTAGAGGACTCTGACCCTCATCTATGGTGGAATTAGGTCAGAAAGGTGCGAGTAGTCCAGGAACATCATCAGGTGGCCCTTCTTGGTAGACGTCACAAGTGAGTTGTTACATGACATGCTGTATATGTGTCATTTACTAAATATTAAATACAACACTAAAAGAACTGGACAACTGTAGTCACTTTAATTTTTTTTGTAAATTCAATTATTTCCATTTAAAAGAAGATGTTAAAGAAAGAACACTGATGGGACAGGAACTCAGCTACTTTGAAGGTGCACCCACACTTTGAAGTCTTATCTGCTGGAGCGCCTGTCTCCTGAAGCTCCTGAGAGCTCGATGTCCTCAGGGGAGCTATGGAGTTACCATGAGAACGATGCTTCACTGAGTCAGGTCTTGGTAACAACACACCAACCGTTTCTTGATAACTTTAAGAAAAACATGTTACTTGAACCAAACCCAGATAATATGAGTTAAAAAAATATTGTTCATTTGAAACGAACCCACCCCAGATAAGATGCCTGTGCAGCGTATGAGAATTATAAAACAGAACAAAATCAGGGTTACAAAATTAATCATTCATGCAGTCCGCAACTGAGCGTGACACATGGAGGAAGCTTTCAAAAAAAAAAATAAAAATAAATAAATAAAAGTTTGTAAGAGTCAAGAGCATAAGGAGG